CAGCCAGCATGAGTATCAGGCTGAAGTAATCTACACTACAGAAAGTCACCAGTTTATTAACAGCTGTTCATATTCATTAACTCAGTGGATCTTTGTCTGTTTTGGAGATAGTTACATAGTTCTTTCTTGGGGTCTTCCTCCTCATGTCTCACCTTACAAAAAAGTTGTGTTGAAACATGCTACATGTTGTTGATGGTTTCTGAATGGGGTTAAGGAAATATGTTGTATTATGTAGTCATGAATATGCTTCTGTGGCTAGTCATTTTGGGAAAAAAGTAGGGGAAGTCAGCACAAAGATTACCAATTTGGGAAATGCCCTAACATTATATTCCATAAACATGTGATATAAACTGAACCAGAATTATTATCAATATGTCCTTTATTTAATAACATCAAAGTGGGAAGGGTGAGCAGTTTTGTGTTAAGAAAAGATTAAATAGGCCTACAGGGCAGATATAGGATAAAAATGTACCTGCCATGACCTATGGTAAGCTATTGTGGTTTAGGGATAAGTACAATCTTGCTGAAGCAGCAGCTATAGTGCTCTCCATGGTACTGACTGCTGATCCTCTTGACTGCCTCAAGGTATTTTTGTTGTCATGTCCATATCCATGAGGAAGATTTTTGGTATGTTATGAGGATGAGGGTTTTATACAGCCTGGGGAGAGCTGTGGTACTGATGATCCTGCTACTAATTTCTACAAGGACTTGTGAATATTTGGATTGGTTGGGGGATTTGGTGGGCAATGTGGCTGTATCTATGGTATGCAGAGGACCTGAGTTAGGGAGACTTTTGTTCTGCACAATCTTGGAGAAAAATGATCCATTTCTTCTCTTTTAAGCAGACGGTATTGTATTTTTCTCCAGGCATGCTAGCAATATAATCTAAGTGATGCCTTTGTCTAGGGATGGGCAGAATTCAGGCCTGTGGGATTTACTTTAAGATATTTGCTGGATCATTGACAGACAGCAAGTGTTTGCATAATAGCTCATTGAGGCATGTTAAAAAATGAAATTTTTGATTTAAGTCTTGCAGAGACTTAAGGCACTTGGAACTAAGAAAGGCCAAATAGTACTCTGAGCATATATTCAATCCTGGAATGTGTTTTCATGGCCAGAGCTGAGCTCTTTGTTTTTTCAGTCGAAAATCCACTCCTGTTTCGCCACAACTTCCCTTTGCTTCATCATCCAGACAGAATGAGATATATTTATGATTAAGCTTTTTTTAAAAAATCCTTGCTTCTAAGGATCACATGGAACATGGCTACTGATATTAGGATATCAACAGGGAGGGGGGAACCTCTTCACCCTTTGGGGGTAGATGAATCTTTTAAGTGTTTGAAAAGGATGAAATGGTGCCTGAGGCCATCTTTTTGGTCCTGTAAACCAACTGCTGTGTTGGAAAAATTTTGTTGCTTATCTGGGGTTTTAAGGAGATGAAAAGTGACTCTAGTCTCCCTTAAAATCCTCAGATAGCCACCAAAAAGTAGCCTCACCAACTCTGGGAATATTCACAGAACCAGAAAAGTGGTTCTGAGGAACTGCATGTGGCCAATGCTTTAAGCAGCTGTACACTAGATCTTGAGGGGCCTTCTACTTATCCCACAGTTTACATGGATCTACTGTCCATGCTTATAAAGGAAAGATTAATAGATTTATGAGCAAAAGGGGAAAAAAATCAGATTCAAGTTAGACTTTCAAATATTTGCATCTATTTCATATTAGGAAAGGCGGGGGGAGAACTTAGGCTTAGTTTGCCACCATCACCACTGCCCCAGCTAAACTGGGATGTAAAGTCTTCTCTTGTCCCAAAGAAGAATTCTTAGAGTTTCTTAGGAATGCTATGAGATAGTACCATTCAACATTTATATAAAATTAGCTGATTGTGTGTGTGTGTGTGTGTGTGAGAGAGAGAGAGAGAGAGAGAGACTAGGCTTTCCCAGTCTATGGGAGATGCAATTTCAGACTCTGTTTTTCATGATCATTTCACTTAAGTATTGTGATAATAATTATGTCACTTGTTTAAACATCTTCAGTGTTGTGATGAATTGGTTATGTTCACACAACAGGCTTAACTAGGTCAGTTGCAAAACAGATGGCTGTATTTGCATAACATGACAAGCTTTGCTAGTTTTAACCATTTTGTGTGTTTATCTCTGTGTGTGAATGGTTAAAGTGACTAAACACAAGTCATTTGATTAGTACATGGTTCAGTGTATTACGGAAAACCAGAAAATGGGATAACTCTGTAACCAGGTTAAGTGGGCCATATTTAGATATCCATGCTTAGATTCCACTAGAATGTATATATGTCATTCATAGATAGGAAACTAAAATGTTCTCTAGGACTCCTAGAGATCCCATTTAGGTAGATGCGTAGGTAGATCCCATTTAGGAACTACTGCTATCTACTACTGTCTACCTATTCATGGAATCTGCACTACACTGAGAGCTGAAGTTTATATGGAGGTGCTTTATCTCAAGTCTGATCATGAGTCCAGGTAGCTCAAGGTTATCTACGCTGCTTGGCAGCAGACCAATGGGGATTCTGATGACCTCATCTATGTAGAGCTGGTAAGGAGTGAATCTGATGCTTTTGTCATGCAAGGTGTATGCAATACTCTGACCTCTATGCCTTCTCTAAGGAAGATGGCTGCTATTCAAACCAGTGATTTAATTTTATTGGAGTGCTTATTTTTAAAGAAATAATCTTTGTCAAGGTCTTAGCTGACCTGCATTTGATTGCAACAATATGTTTTGTTCATATTCATCATCTTCATTGCTAAATTAACTCTGGAATTACAGAACAATGGCATATTCGTCTTCTGAAGAAATGTCCTGTTTTTTTCCTGCAAGAACAATTTATTCCTTCTCTGTCTCAGGTTCCAAAGCAAGTTGACTCTCATGTTCACTGCCAATTTATTTCACACTAAATCTTTGTTTCCTAATGGTTCATCTTGCTGGGATTGTTTTAGATCTCTTTAAAAAAAAATTATTTGGAAATTGTAGCAATTTGCTCTGAAAAATTCTGTGGGACTTCCATTTGAGTTCCTGAAAATAACAAAAGCATATTGCCCCCCCCCCCAATTTTCTCAATGATTAAAAGATCAATGCACATCTATTAAGCAAGGGCTAAATTACTCTGAACAGGGTATTTTAGTAAAACAAGATGGATTCTGGGAAGGGACCACAGTGGATACTTTTTTGTATGTGTGTTTTAAGTCTGTAGATTTTAATATACAGAGCAATACACGAAGGATAAGGATTAATACACTATCTTGGCTGATTGGTTGAGAAAACTATTAAAATATGATCAATGTTCTCTGTTCAAAATGTTACACTGAACATTCTTAAGTTTGTGAAGAAAGAATAAAGGTTCATGTTTTATTTAAAGTCTATAGTATATTTCAATGCTTTGCAAAATGAACAGTGGTACCTCGGTTCACGAACTTAATTCGTTCCACGATTCTGGTCGCGAACCAAATCAAATTTCCCCATAA